GCCTCATGTAGGGGTGTTTGTGGGGTGGTTTGGCTTGGGTTCACCTTTAATCCTCTGCGAACTGACACATTCAGATTGGAAAATCACTGAACCGCCATCAACTGACTTCCTCTTTGAAATCGACCGAGTCAACGGACTCCGTTTGGCTGTCGGATCAGTTGAATTCGAAAATCTGTTAGAAAAAGAGAATGGGGAAAAAAGAATGAGAAAAATGGAATTCAAACTTCACAATAAACAGATCTTAGACTCACGTATTGGTCTATGTGAGAGAGAGTGAAGAAAAGAAAATGGGACAAAGAGAGGGAGAGAGGAGACTCACCATGTCACTGACCGCCACAACTTCCTCCATCACTCATTGCTGTCATTGCTCATCACCGAGTGTATGGGAAATTGATGCAACATGCTGTAAGTGTCAGATGATCTACCACAACCATCGCCATTAATTGAACAACACCACCATTAATGTTTCCGGGGAAAAAAAGAATGACAATCAGGGGATTGAAGAGGCAGATTGAATTTTTGGGAGGAGATTGAAGGGTTTTTTCGGTGGGGGAATTGAATAGCCAGCCTATGGGAGAAATATAATCAATGTAATGGAAGGAAGAGAGACTCGAAGGAAGAGAGAGATATTGATTAATGGAAGAGAGATATAAATGCAAATAAGGATATTTTTTTCAAACGGAAGAGTAGAGATGGGTAGAAGAGGAAATTTATAGAGAGAGTAAGATAGTAGATGGAACAGTGAAGAGAGGTCAAAATAGGAGGGTGAGTCAGAGTAATTAATTTATAGGAGAAAGTGTAATTAATGTTGAATGAGAGTGTGTAGGAATTATTGTAGGAATCAATGAGTGCACAGAGAAAGAGAGTAGCAGCACTTTCGACGGGAAAGTTAGTGAAGCACCCTAGAATAGTGATGAATATAATATGAGAACATCAATTACACATGACACGTGGAGATATTTTTAAATATATAGGTCGGTGGTCGGGTTATGTGGGTTTCTTTTTGCCAAACCCATTATTCGACAAACTGCAAAAACTATCCATGTTAACCCGTAGTTGACCGAATATAGTTTCCAAACCGTCTGTTTGTGGTCTGGCTGGTTGGATTCATTGGGCAGGGTGGGTATTCGAACAGCCCTAGCCTCATGAAGTATTTGTATGATTTACATTATAGATAGGGCTACTACTTCAATGTTAGCTGCTCATTTGGTCATTTTTTGTCTATAGATGGAGTTGTGATCAAATTCAAAGAATAAGAAAAAGGTTTTGTTTGGACTGCATTTCCATGACTTGCAGTGTAGTTGTAAAAATAGCACAGGGAATAAATTGAGGACAATAATCTATTGCACCTTCCAGATATAGCACCGAAAAAAAAATAAAAAATCCAATAAGATTATTATGTCTAGAAATTAATATAGAGCCATATCATGTCCAGGATTCACATCCAGATCATAATCTTTGCAAAGACTTGTCAACAGTTGTAATGTGAAAGATCATAGGCTCGTCAAGGGACCGATGGATTCATGGTTTTTGATTGCTTTGGACAAGTGGATTCCAACTGTACAACCACTTGCACAACATCACCGCCGTCAACCACCACAGTAAGCCACCGACAAATGCCATCAAGAGACCTACTGTATGTTGAAGTCTTCACCACAACCCAACTAAGAGATCCACCGTTAGAGGGACATAGAGATAGAGAAAGAGAAGTAGAGAGAGGTTTCCAGAGAGTGAGGGTAGGTTGGTGGTGATGCTGAAAGTGAGGGTAGGGTAGGAAGAACAGAAGTGTTTGGATACTGATGTAGTATTGAATTATAAAATATTTAATGGAGAAAGGGTAATTCTATATCACCCATTAGTGCCGTTTACTTTTTCGTTATTAAACTTAGGGGCTCACTATATTTTTTATTACTCACGGTCAAGGGTGGTCAATGTAATTTGTCCTATAAAATTTGTTGTGGACAAAATTTTAAAATATTATGTTAGGGAATATGTGCAAGATGTTTATTTTATTATTTTATTCTTAGTTTATTTCAACATCAACAAAAAATAATCGTTTCTAATGATGTTTTCATTCTAGTTATGTAGTGATATATATATTTTAAAATTTGTCTTGCTGACTTTTTGAAATATTTCAATGGTGGACACCTTGAGACATTATTAATTATTAATTTATAAGAAATTTCGTGTCAGGCGGACCTATCAGAATTGCAAGATGTTTATTTTATTATTTTATTCTTCTTTTATTTCAACATCAACAAAAAATAAATAGTTTCTAATGATTTTTTCATTCGAGTTATGTAGTGACATATATATACATATATATTTTAAAATTTGTCTTGCCAACTTTTTGAAATATTTCAATGGTGGACACCTTGAGAAATCATTAATTATTAATTTATAAGAAATGTTGTGTCAGGCGGACCTATCAGAATTGGAACAGATCAATTAGCATATCCACCTATCATCGGAGGCATAACCATAAAAAATATCATTAAAAAAGCATGAGTTGTTATTAAAACATTATAAAGTTGATGATTCCCACCAAGAATTTGATTGCCGGGTCGTGTTAATTCCATAGGAAGGGTCTTTGTTTGGATTGTGTATCTAGGTTATTTTTATTATCAGTATTTTTTTTCTTCTTGTATGGACTATAAATGACCTCGTGTTCCATAATGGTTGCTTGACATAGAAATGTGACTAAATAATCTGACTCAATTTACGAGTTTATTCAAGTCTCCTTTTAGGCTAATATTGTCGAGGAAGTGACTAATTATTGCATATGAGGCTGAAGTGATCATTTTTACTAGTAAACTCGGTCAAAAGTTACAATCAGATATCAAGAGTAGGAGAGTTCCTTGACTAATTTTGTAAGTGAAGGAGTTTCCTTGCCTGATTCACAAACCTTATGGAAAGTCCCTACAATTTTCACTTGAATTACACTTAAATCAAAACTTCATCACTCTTTCATGTATAATAACTCCGTCAATTTATTCACTGTTGAATTTTTGTTTAGGGCAAGATGCTGAACAGACGGGAATGCAATATTCTACTTTTTACTGTAATTTCTCTGAAAGTAGAGGAAGTTGTTTATGTAGATGCATGCTAAATATAGAAAGAGCGCACTTGTTCTGGAATATAGAAAGGGCTTTGCATTTCACTCTTTGTTGTGGGGTTGTCACCGATTGACCGGCCATACGGATAGGGAAGTCATCCAATAAGTGGTTTTAGCATATCTTATGCAATCAATTGATTTTATCATGTCTATTCTTCACTAGCGCATAGGCTCTGGCTTCTTCCTCTAGCCGAGCCACTACATGCATATGTGTGATTCGTGGCAGTTTTTTTAAAAAAATTTTATGGAGTGCATCATTTGTGTTCGACTCAGGTAGCTAAGAAGGACTTTTTCCTTTCTCTTTGCACGATATACCAATTTCTGAAGATGATTGTTTTTTTTGGGCTGGGGCTGTTTCCCCGGTGGCATGCCTTGCTGTTTCTAATATAGTGGTCATGATCGATTCGATAAAAAAGAAGGAATAGTTTGTATTTTTTGTTGGGATTTCCTAGAAAAACTAGTCGTGTCTTATTCTGATTTATTATAAATGATATTCAATCTACCAAAATAAAAGTTAAAAGAGGGTATGTATGCTCATTGTGTTCTTTATATGAAAATCTGAAGCTAGGGGGCATTCCCTTGACTTGTACTAGTGAGAATTTTACTCCACAAGAAATTGAAGAAAAAACTGCTAAACTGAAGAATCCACTTTTTTCTAGAAAACTCGCATTGGGTTTAGGGATAATTAGGCTTGAACTGATGACTTCCACCACGTCAAGATGACGCTCTATCGCTGAGTTGTATCCCTTCTCGTTGTCTAAGAACTAGATTTGTCTCGTCTTCATCTCTCTCCCATTCCGTTAGCATTTCTATCTTGTTATCAAATCCTTCAAACCTAGGGCATGCCACTAGGAAAGGTCTTTGCCTACTTTTATAAGAGAGTTTTCGTGCCTGATTTGTAGCGGGCCTGGCGTAGCGGTAAAGCTACCCCTTGGTGACCTGGTGGTCACTGGTTCGAGTCGTGGAAACAACCTTTCCGTTTATGGGGGTAAGTCTGCGAACGTAACCCTGTCCCAGACTCCACTTAAGCGGGAGCTTTCGTGCACTAGGTACGCCCTTTCTCTGCCTGATTCGTAAACCTTTTGGGAAGTCCCTACAATTTTCTCTTGAATTACACTTAAATCAAAACTTCTTCACTTGTTTCATGTAATGTAACTCTTTCAATTTATTATCCATTGGATTTTTGTTTAGGGCAAGATGCTGGTATTTAGAACAGATTGGAATGCTATATCCACTTGTATTATAATTTCTCTGAAAGTAGAGGAAATTGTTTCTATTGATGCATGCTAAATGTCCTTACCTAATGAATGATTTTCATAATAAGTCCTTTAAATATACTACTTTCATTTGTGACTGTATTTGATGAATTCCAACTGAATATATATGTAAATCCTGTCATTGGAACAACTGGCCTACTTAAACTAGTTAAAACTACATGAACACCATATCATCAATTTCCTCTGTGTATGTTCCCCAGGAGAACAAAAAGGATAAAAGTGCAGGTGATGTTAAATGTCATGTTTTTGGACCTGTTTGATGCATTTCTTTATCAAGTGTTTCTTGTTCCTCTTAGGCTGTGATTGAATCAAGGATTTGAGGAGGGATTTGAGAAGGAGAAGGAAATAGGAAGAGGAAAAAATGAATGAAATAGAAGCTAAATTTTGTCACTTTTTCCTCCTTAAATCCTAGACTGAAACACAGCCTTAAAGTTTCGATGAAGAACAAATGTCTTTTGGGTCTGTTAATTAATAATTATAATTTTCTTTACACCAAGCTTTATAGGCTTTTTAATTCCCCTATGTTCCTGCTGGCTGCCTTTTCCCCAAATCTGTGCTACTAATGCAGTTGATTGTTTCTAACAAAATTGTGTACTTACAATTAACAGGTTCCAAATGCCAAGATTTCTATTTGGATCAGGATCATTGATTGCATGGACAAGGTCTCTGGCTGAAGTATATGTTGTAGACCCCTCTGGACCATGGCACTACATTTTTCTGAAACCGCAAGGACTGTCTAGTTAGAAGTAGACTACTCTGCTTATTGCCATGGCTGCTTTAGCAAAAACTCTCACAGTCGAAAAGCCAAATCCAACTGGAGACTGGACAATTGTTTTGCCTCGTCGTGGTAAAAAACAAAGAAGAAATCTCAAATCTCAGATCCTAGAACAAGAACAACCATGGGTTCCAATCGACCATGAGGTTGATTCTGACAGAGAATTGAAATTGATGCAGAAAATGCAAGTCTGCATGAAGAAAGTTGAGACCTCTCTCTTTTTCTCTACTTTTATGGATCAAACTCGGTCTCCTCAAATCTTGGATTGTCTTTCAAGGCTTCTGGGCTCTGAACCAAAGATGAACATGGTGATATATGGTATTGGTAGCATTGAATCATATGACCCCCCTCGATTTCAGCTTAGCCTTGCGATTTTGATGAAGAAAATGTTCAGTTGGATTGGAGATCTAGAGGTGTTTGATCCGATTCTTTCTGGTACAGAAACTCGGGTTTTAGAAAGTCTTGGTTGTTCTGTCCTATCAGTCAATGAACAAGGTAGGCGACAAGCTTTGAAGCCGACATTATTTTTCATGCCACACTGTGAGACAGAGTTGTATGACAATCTCCTACAGGCAAATTGGAGATCGGACATGTTGAACCGTATAATATTGTTTGGGAACAGCTTTGAGACATATGAGCAATACGGGTTGGTGTTTAAGAACTCGAATGTTGTTAATTTGAGGAAGCATATCTTGGCTGTTAGGAGATTTAAAAAAGAGTTTGGAATCAAGACGGTTTCGGATGATTATTTTCGAGCTTTTCATGATTTAAGTTGGCATTTTTTCAGCATTGAGCCAGAGATGGAGCTGAATATTGTTTGATTGATTGAGCTTGGTGACTAGTGTTCTGAATTATTGAAATTGTCTATTTTTTGCTTACAATAATCTTTTTAAGACCTGATTTATTTTTCTTTTCCATTGTTTTAGGAAACAAACTCATTGTTTTCAATGCTTGTGTTTTGTTTTTTGTTTTGAGTGAAAGTTTATACTCTAATATGTGTGTGTATATATATATATATATATATAGGGTACATTGGATTAAGCTCAGCAGATGCAAAATTAGAATTGGAGTAGGTGGATTGTATGAGTCTAGATCATCTGCCATGGTTGTTTTGGACTTTTTTTTTTTTTTTTCATTTGCTAAGAACCCTAATTCTCAAAACAGGCTCGACGACTTGCATAACTCCAAAGTTGGCGAGCAAGGTCTGCTCGGCAACTTGCTTCTTGGTGAGCAAAATCCGCTTGCCAAGGAATTCCATCAACAAATCTTTTGCGGAGCAAAATCTTTTGCCGAGAAGTAGAGAGAGGTTTCTAGAGAGTGAGGGCAGGTTAGTGGTGATGCTGAAAGTGAGGGTAGGGTAGGAAGAAAGGAAGTGTTTGGATACTGATGTAGTATTGAATTATAAAATATTTAATGGAGAAAGGGTAATTCTATATCATCCGTTAGTGCCATTTACTTTTTCATTATTAAACTTGGGGGCTCACTATATTTTTTATTACTCACGGTCAACGGTGGTCAATGTAATTTGTCCTTTAAAATTTGTTGTGGACAAAATTTTAAAATATTATGTTAGGGAATATGTGCAAGATGTTTATTTTATTATTTTATTCTTAGTTTATTTCAACATCAACAAAAAAAATCATTTCTAATGATTTTTTCATTCGAGTTATGTAGTGATATATATATATATTTTAAAATTTGTCTTCCTGACTTTTTGAAATATTTCAATGGTGGACACCTTAAGACATTATTAATTATTAATTTATAAGAAATATCGTGTTAGGTGGGCCTATCAGAATTGCAAGATGTTTATTTTATTATTTTATTCTTCTTTTATTTCAACATCAACAAAAAATAAATAGTTTCTAATGATTTTTTCATTCGAGTTATGTAGTGATATATATATACATATATATTTTAAAATTTGTCTTGCCAACTTTTTGAAATATTTCAATGGTGGACACCTTGAGACATCATTAATTATTAATTTATAAGAAATGTCGTGTCAGGCGGACCTATCCGAATTGGAACAGATCAATTAGCATATCCGCCTATCATCAGAGGCATAACCATAAAAAATATCATTAAAAAAGCGTGAGTTGTTATTAAAACATTATAAAGTTGATGATTCTCACCAAGAATTTGATTGTCGGGTCGTGCTAATTCTATAGGAAGGGTCTTTGTTTGGGTTGTGTATCTAGGTTATTTTTATTATCAGTATTTTTTTTCTTCTTGTATGGACTATAAATGACCTTATGTTCCATAATGGTTGCTTGACATAGAAATGTGACTAAATAATCTGACTCCATTTACGAGTTTATTCAAGCCTCCTTTTAGGCTAATATTGTCGAGGAAGTGACTAATTATTGCATATGAGGCTAAAGTGATCATTTTTACTAGTAAACTCAGTCAAAAGTTACAATCAGATATCAAGAGTAGGAGAGTTCCTTGACTATGTTTGTAAGTGAAGGAGTTTCCTTGCCTGATTCACAAACCTTATGGAAAGTCCGTACAATTTTCACTTGAATTACACTTAAATCAAAACTTCATCACTTCTTTCATGTATAATAACTCCGTCAATTTATTCACTGTTGAATTTTTGTTTAGGGCAAGATGCTGAACAGACGGGAATGCAATATTCTACTTTGTACTGTAATTTCTCTGAAAGTAGAGGAAGTTGTTTCTGTAGATGCATGCTAAATATAGAAAGAGCGCACTTGTTCTGTAATATAGAAAGGGCTTTGCATTTCACTCTTTGTTGTGGGGTTGTCACCGATTGACCGGCCATACGGATAGGGAAGTCATCCAATAAGTGGTTTTAGCATATCTTATGCAATCAATTGATTCTATCATGTCTATTCTTCACTAGCGCATAGGCTCTGGCTTCTTCCTCTAGCCGAGCCACTACATGCATATGTGTGATTCGTGGCAGTTTTTTTTAAAATTTTTTATGGAGTGCATCATTTGTGTTCGACTCAGGTAGCTAAGAAGGACTTTTTCCTTTCTCTTTGACACGATATACCAATTTCTGAAGAGTATTTTTTTTTATGGGTTTGGGCTGTTTTCCCGTTGGCATGCCTTGCTGTTTCTAATATAGTGGTCATGATCGATTCGATAGAAAAGAAGGAATAGTTTGTATTTTTCGTTGGGATTTCCTGGAAAAACTAGTTGTGTCTTATTATGATTTATTATAAACGATATTCAATCTGCCAAAATAAAATTTATGCTCATTGTGTTCTTTATATGGAAATCTGAAGCTAGGGGG